TTTTTTTCGATTTGAACACATTGTTTCTTTTGCTGGCCAACTGTTGAGATCAGTTGACAAAATGCAGGGGGGAGAGGTGTAACCTGTGATGGACTACATTTAGCATTTCGTACAAAGGGAGTAGAATCACCCACACTCTGTCCTTACTGAAGAAACCAGCTGAGGACAAGAGCCTTGTATTTGTGCCTCTTTGGCTCAAGTGCCGACTTTACCTTGCGTTACCTTTCTTGCACTGTCAGAACAGATCTCAAGACTAATAATATTATGCCCGTCCATGCTGGAAACATGATGTAATGGTATTTTTTGCCTTTGATTTCTCTTAAAAGGTATAAATTTGATTCATACTCACTGGTGACAGATGGAACGGATCGAATGCCAAGTCTTGTCATTCAAATGACAAAGAACCTCTTTTCACTTCAAAGGTGGGTACAATCGTGTGTGAGTGAACCTGTTTTTTGATAGAGAGTCGACAAACCAAGTCAGGGTTGAATGTATTTAGCTGACATTTTTGCTGGGACTCAGGATATTTGGTTTGTGTTTGTGTGCGTCCAGCCATGGATTCGAACACGCGAGTGCGTGTTGTACATATTTTAAACATGCGAAAAGCCGCATATTTTTGTCACCGAGGGTCTTGTACTGATCTGTACATCGCAAGTACATATAATGCAGCTAAACTTCTGCTAACGGACATCTCCAGTACACTGTCACCTCCTGCAAGGTGACACTCTTTAGTAAGAGTCTCAGCCACATACAAACTGGCACTTCATTTTTAACTTCCCGTAGATGGGCACCCCTTCTTACTGTTACAAGTGGACAATTTTTCTATTCATATGAGGGTCTGCTCAAAGGTGGTATAATGTTGCATTAATATTTCAAACTCGTAACTCAGCCTGTGAACTAGCTAGGTGTCACCATAATCAACAACATTTGAACATTTTTTTGAACTGTGTGAAGGAGTGGTCAACTTCCCAATGTCCAGTCCTCTTCCCCTCTCACTACTGTACTTGATATTTTTGAGCCATTATGGTGTAACCTATTTATTATAACAGATTTGGTTTAGATGAGCTCAGGCGTTTTGTGTTGACTGTGAAGAAGAATTACCGAGATGTGCCATACCATAACTGGACTCATGCCTTTGCTGTGGCACATTCCATGTACCTTGTTATTCGATCTGGAAATGACAAGTTCACTGCACTTGAGGTAAAGGGGAGCACCATGCTATTTACCACACGACTCTTGGATTGCAGTACTCACAAATTGATTTATCTGTCTGGTATTCTTTTCAATTTGGATCTCTGTAAAAGATCTCTGACACAGTCTTGCCATATGTATATCTGATCATCTGCAGTTCCTATTATCTGAAGGCAATCCCCATCCTACTGAGTGCGGGAGGGCAAAAAGGGACCACAGTGACGAAATAGGGGTTAAAAAGATGAATGTGTCAACAATTTTGTCGCCGATTGTAGCTCCGATAAAAGAAGAGAGAAAAGGCGGCATTTGAATTGGTTCATTTTTGATCGGAAGTGTTTGTTTTGCAGGCATTAGCAATGTTCTTTGCTTCCCTTTGTCACGACCTGGATCATCGCGGTCGAACCAACTCGTGGATGAAGAATGAACAGACTCCACTGGCTGCTGTGTACAGCACATCAACTATGGAACACCATCACTTTAACCAGACTATTACCATCCTTCAGGTACGCCGCACAAATGTTTTCTGGAGCTTCATGTTGTAACAAGCTGGCCCTTGAGAATTTCTTCGTCTCCCGTACAATGTATTTCCCTTTTTCCTTCCGCAATCTGCAAGCCTGAAACGAACTGTTTGAGAGACTACTGACATTCGAAATGCATTTTGGTATTATACAAAGTAGGTTCCTGTGTTCCAGCAGGACGCCTCACAGAATTTAACACATCCTGAGCTTAGATTCAGCAGAATTCAGTGTCTAAGTAGGTGAAAGCGGTATTTTTTTTATTATTTCTTATAATCGTTCTAGGCTTGGGTTGAGCCATCTGGAATTTTTCTCTCATTTTTGTGGACGAAGTAGTAGTTTGTTAAGTGAGTTAATCTCCTTGTCACAAGTTTCTACTAATTGCGCGCTTTGTGTTTGTATAACTGAGTTAAGTCTATTTGTGTTAGTAGCGTTCAGCTATTTTCTTGTAAAAGAGGAATAATTAATACACTTGTTCCTTGTCAATAGCATGAAGGACACAACATCTTCTCACACTTGAGTCCAGCAGAGTACAAAACGGTGCTGGGTTACATGAAAGAGTGTATACTTGCCACTGACCTGGCATTGTTTTTCGGTAACAAGTCCAAACTGAAGGATTTAGCTGACAAGGGCGAATTCTCTTGGGAAAACCAGGAACACAGGTAAAAATTGAACAAAGCACTTTTGCACCTGTGAGTGTGTTTGTTTTTGTTGTACAATGTTGTTGTTGTGTTTTTGTTCTCTTACAACAGCGGCACGATGCAGTCTGAATAAACTGGGCAGTGGGGGGGGGG